CTCCTAATTGGTTATCTCATCAAGGTTTTTCGGATCTTTGAAAAAGTTTGTCACCAATTGAGCTCGACCAGAAGGTTCTATTGCAGAGGCTTACATTGTTAAGGAGTGCATTACTTTTTGCTCAATGTATCTTGAAGGGATTGAAACCGTGCATAATCGAGATGCACGAAATGAAGATTATGGAGTCCGTCGTGAAGGTTTGATAATATTCACCGAAACTGCTCGTCCTATTGGCCAAATTAGAAAGCATGTTGAGATGTCACAGGAACTTCGTGATATTGCTTATTGGTTCTTATTATACAATAGCCCTGAGATAGAGAAGTATCTTCAGTACGTGTTTCTTATAATTATATATATTTTAACAATTATCATGTTATTAGTCATTAATAATAGTAGTATTTCACACATTAACCAAATCTATTTGAGTAGGGAACACAAGAATTTGTTACCAATTCCCAGTGGACAAGATATAACTCAGATACAACAGAAGGAATTTCCAAAGTGGTTCAAAGAATATGTAAGTCATTTTTAATATTCACAATTGGCCAAACACTATTAGGCTTGTATAAAATACAAACATTACTAACATAATTCAAGTGTTGCACATTGCATGTGGATGTAGATAAATAGATTGAGAGTTGATGAGGCACCAGAAGCAATCGAAGAATTGTGGTCCTTAGCGAATGGTCCTAATTTGCTAGTGAAAGAGTACTCGGGTTGTATAATCAATGGTGTAAGATTCCAGACGAAGGAATTTGACAATCATCGTAAGAGTCAAAACAGTGTGTGCTTACCAAAGGGGACTACAAGGGAGAGATGCACGAATTCGATGGTCACTTGTGCAATATTTGGGAATTTGAGTACATGTGTCAAAATAAAGTTGTTTTGTTTCAATGTGAATGGTACAACACCGGTAACACTGGTAGAAGTAGAACAGTACGAGCTGACACATATTGAACAAGCATCGATGTCACAAGCCGATGGTATCAATCTGACCCTTTTATCTTGCCTAGTCAAGCTAAACTAGTGTTCTACCTGAATGTCACCAAATGGGGGCAACCTTGGCAAGTCGTGCAACAGGTCCAACACAGAGGTGTGTTTGATGTGCCAGAGGTTGGTGATAGAGAACCACCAGATCAACCAGAATTTAATGATGCATTCTAACAAGAAAACATTAACTCAGTTGTCCCAATCAACATTGAAGATATTATTCGATTTCATAGGGATGATATTGAAGCTGAGGTTATTCCAAATAAAACAAAGAGAGATGGTAGAGAAGACGAAGAAGATGAAGAACTTGGCATACTTGATGATGATATGGATTATGATATGTAGTTTTTGTTTTTTTTAGGTTTCTATATAGACATATGTTTTTAATGCATTACATAGTTATGCTATATTTTGTTGTGTCTCTTCAAGTAAAATTATGCTTTATATGTTATGTTTTATATCAATTTATGCTTTTTAGTTACCAAAATGGCAAATGGGAGAAACAATGGATCAAACTAGGTTTTCTAGCGAAACAGAAGTGAACAAAGTACGAAATGGAAAGATATAAGACAATCAAAAAGAATAATAAGAAAATGGATGCTCTACAATTGAAGTGTATAGCAGCTTCTATGATGGGTTCTTGTGACGCCCTCAAATTAAACCCATAATAAATAATATTGACATGTATTGACAAAAAGAAACAAATATTCTTCCATTCATCAGAGTATTCTTAAAAAAAGACATTACATGTAATAACGAAAGTAAATGCCCTACGGGCTTACATCTTTCCAAGCCAACACTTGGACACAAAAGAAATGAGTACTAACTCAACTACAGATTAAGCCCTTTGGCTTGAATTTACATGTAATATCAAAATGACAAAAATAACTAAAAAGAGTCTTCAACTCCAAATCCTCCCAAGCTAAGTCGTTGGAGGTAGCATATCACTTGGACCTGAAAATGATGTTCCCATATAGGGTGAGCCACAGCCCAGCAGAGATATACTAAACCATATATAAGCATTGACTAAAGCAATAGCATTCAATAGATGGTTACTCTTATAATTCAATTACATCACAATACAGTTTCAAGACCACTATGTCCATGATACGTTTCACTTTCCATTATTTGCCCAAGTTTCCATTTTATACAAACATGGCTCAAAACCTGGCCAAACAATATAATGAGACTACATCTCATATTAAAATTACTTCCAATATCAACAATTAAATGAGGCTAAGGCTCATAATAAAGCACTTCCATAAATCGATAAGTACACATATTTGTTGTACTAAAATACTTCCATACATCAATAAGTACACATATTTGCTGTACTAATGGAGTCCATCCCCTTTCTCCTCTCAAACTGGTTTGAGAGTCCATCCCCTATCTTCCCTCAAACCATAGAGTACATCCCCTATCTCCTCCCAAACAATATGCATATACAATGTATTTAACACTTGTCATATACAATATTCAATCAATACACGTATGTGCTGTATTAATTCAACTGTCATATTCAATGACCTGTTCAATGTGATTAGTTTCAGTTTTTCCTAATCCACATGCAATGTCTACAACAATCACGACTATCCTTCACCGATAGCCCAAAACAGTTATTTCTAAACAGAAAATAAATGCACTAAACGGATATAATATCAACATTTATATAAGTGGGTGATAAATTAATCCAACCACACCATTCAATCAACAATTTCCCAATTTCATGGATTTCAACTAAAACCCATATTTTTCCCAAATTAATTATATCAATTAATTTACAACAACAATTCGGGCAATTTCCCTCTTTCATCAAAATCAACCCTAAGGTTCAATTTTCTCTATTTGATACTATCTATGCCATTTTTCAAGTCTTACTAACACATGGAGTTTAATATATGGAAAACCCCCCATTCGCTTAAATTACAAATCAAATCCTAACTTTTCCCAAAATCACCCAACAACGCCAACATATCAAAATGACCAAAATTTATGTCAAAACCTATAAGATGGAGTAGGGTATCCCTACCTCGAAGTGAGGAACTCAAACGGAGATGATGACCAAAGACCAACGTGCTCTAAATCCCAAGTTTCTCAGATTAAAACGAAGCCCTCAACCCACTCTATCTTTTTAATAAAGGACTAAGGTTAGATACTCACCCTAGGTATATCAATTCTTAGAGAGAACACAAGTTCAGAGAGAGAGAGAGTCGGCTCTAGGGTTTCAAAAGAAAAGATGATGAAAAAAAATGATGTTTAACCCGCTACTGACTACTGATATATAACAAGTCATTAGGACCTTACAGTTACACCAAAAATAATGACCATTAAACAAGAAAATGGTTACACCAAAATAATGACCATTAACTAAAAAAATGGTTACACCAAAATAATGACCATTAACCAAGTTCATGAATTCTATTTAACCTCCATTTATGACCAAGAGGTTACCAAAGTAATGAAATCCCATAAATAAATATAAGATATTAAGGATTGGTCGCTATAGTTCTACTCAGCCCAATCGTGTTAATCAGAAGGGCAAGAACATTAGGGTAGATGATGATGACTACATACAGTCAGATCATGAGGATAACACTGATGCTGAGTCCTTTGAAAGTGTTTACGATGAGGTACTATACGTATGGCCATTCATTTTTTTTATTATGTCACCGATAGCTATATATTTGTTAATGATGCTTTATATTTCCGTATCCTTTATTGGATGAATAAGTCATAAAATAAAACTAGAAAATATACATCCTACATACAATAATATGCATACCAAAACAAAGCTAAAAGGAAAAAAAAAAAAAACCTCCTGCACAACCCGTAGGAGTAAGTTAGCTAGAACACAAATGTATAACGAAATAAGACATAATTTGACCATGTTGGAAACACCAATACTAGGATTAGCGTATGTGTGCAGCCTGGCCCTCATAATATCAGTAAAACACATGCCAAACTCATTGATCACCAACTTCACCACAGCATGAACTACCTGCCAGAGGGATTCAGCAAGTCTAGGACTGTTCTTGGAACTAGCGCAAGAAGCAGCCTGGTCCACTTGACAACCTCCATAACATCAACTTCAGTGTTCAAACTAGGACTATCCAATAGGGAATTCCATGGAGAATGGCCCCTAGCTGTAGCAAGATTCTCCAGGTTGACTCTCCCTCAAACTATTTATATGCTCATAGATACTCAACCCACTTTCCATAAGAAGAGGCCAAATTGACAACTTGCAAAGCACACAATTAGGAAAAACCAATTAAAAGATTAGAACTACTGGTAGCTCACAACCACTCAACCCTTTTTAAGGAATCTCACCACACTCAACCCACAATTCCCCAAACAACATATTTCTCAATACTTGCACACTGTAGTAGCAACTAGGAGCACCTGCAAGAGATATTAGTATACATAGATTCCATAAAGTGGGAACCTCTTTTAGGATGGAGGTTGGCAATCTTCAAGTAGACAAGAACCATGCATCATCTGAATTCCTCTTCAGGTTTTTGAGTGACAACACTCTAAACCTGACCATGTTAAAAATATTCAAAGCAACCACTTGTCAGGACCAATCTTGGGAAGAAAAGGAGTGGACTGGATCAGATTACAAATATCAATAGTGGCCTTGATGAGTTTCCATAGACATATCTTTACTTATCCATTTTTATGTATTTATTGTTTATGCTTTTGTATTATGTTTTTTAGGGCTTACCAGTGCCATCAAAATGATTGGTGCAGTCATCTTTCTACCTTCTCACGAGGCAATTATTGTTCCAAATGGGGATTTACATGACAATGCGGATTTCCAACACTCACAGCCACTTGATGTCGATATGGAGGCACCGAGGGAGGCAACCCCCCAATCTAGTGTCGGTAAGATACTGAATTTTACTAAGCTAAAGAAATTCTCTGTTTTAATATAATTCTATGGTGCAAAAAATTTCAGGCAATTTGTTTCATAGGGTTTGATTTTTGATTTTTTATTTTTTGGCTATAAAAAGTGCTGGGGTATACCCTAGTTTAACTCTTGTAAGTTTTGTTTTATTCATACATACATACATATTACCTTCTGTCAAAATGTCTACTTATTCACTTGTGTTATAGTTCATGATTAACAATTATTTAATTTTTTAAACTGTCAAGACTGTTCAATTTTAAACAAAAATATGATTTCTAGGTTCTTATATAGTTGCTTTTAAAGATGTTGTGACATTATTTTGGATGGCTTCTCACATTTGTTTTGACAGCCTTTTAAATTTGAATTGTAAACATTTTTTCAAGGTTGGGTTTAGGGTTTAGGGTTTAGGGTTTAGGGTTTAGGGATTTGAAAAATTTCAGAGACATCATGGTTGATGCTTTTCTTTTCTCACGTTGTTTTCTCTTTCTCATAGTTATATTTGTTCTTTCATTTTCTTGTTTCTTTAATCTTTCCTACCCCTGCAGCTTCTTTGTTCTTCTCTGTTACTACCACTTTCTTTCATACTCTTTGTTTCTCTTCAGCATAAAGGCCAAAAAATTATGTAATTTGTGGTAAAGGCCAGGGTATACCCTAAACATTACACAAACTCAAATGCCAAATTTAAGAATCTGCTTAGCCCTTGAATTAGTGAAACCATTAACCAATGTGTAGAACACTTTGGCATTTTCAAAAGCCACACTTCCTCAAGTAAGGAACGAATTTGAATGGCTTCTTTGTCTAAATCATGGTTTTAAATAATGGTATCAAGATACATATCTGTATCGGTAATACGATCATATTGTCCGATATCAGGCAGTTTCGATTGATATATCATTGAATATTAGGGTCGGAAGTTTAAGATCCCAATACCAAAATTCGATACATATCAGTCAATATGCAGTTAAGATATGTATCGGTTGATATTTGAAACTGTGGTCTAAATTATGATACTCCAATGCCAAGTCATAAAATCTTTTCCTTCACAGACTGGATGTCTTCCTTTCCATTTTTATTAATCTCACAAAAATTTCCAATCAAAGCAGCAATTATTATTTTACTTTAGTACATTGCCCTTTGCGACAAAGATAAAATATATTATGTAGTATTTGAACACAAAAGAAGTTGATCTTAGATATATATAGTAATAAAAACTTTGGGGCAATAACGTAAAAATGATGATTTGTTCTTGCATTTATTGTGTTTTCTTGAAGTAATGGTTTTTTTTTTTAAGGAGACTACCAATTTGGGACTATGGAAATAATGGTTTTTGCATAAAAAGGTAGTGGATTTAAAACTCCGAATAGATGAATGGGATAAAACTAATTAAGAAGGAACATGTTTGGAACGATCCACTAATCCACTCTGATTCTATGCTGAGATATTCATATCAGACATTATGTGCATGTTTTGTTGCAATACTAAAATACTTGTTTTCTCTTTTTCTCATTTGCTGAGTCATTTCTTCTTGATCGTTCGCATTCTTAATTGACAGCCACAAAAAGTAGGATTAATATCAGTGTGGAAAACTGTTAAATCGTGTAGCCAAGCTTGCGATATTGGTTTAATAGCATAAAGGCCAGGGTATACCCCAGCATAAAGGTCCTCACTGGAGTAATCATAGCCAACCTTGAGGCCAAAAAATTATGCAATTTGTAGGTAAAGAACACTTCATCACCACTGATAGAAGCACCCGAGGTATTGAAATTGTGTTGAGAGTAGCTGAACTACTTACCAAAATAGAGAAGGAGACTAGTGGTGTATAGGAGAAACAGAGAAGGAGGCTAGTGAATAGATAGTAATAGCAGTACGAAAAAAAATCAACAGTTGTAGCAACTGCAGAACAAAGTAGCAGCTGTATAGGAGAGACTAAACAGAAACAAAGAGTAGGGAAGAAATTGGCAGTAACAGAGAAGAACGAAAAAGCTGCAAATGTAGGAAAGAGTGAAGAAACAAGAAAATGGAATAGCAAATATAACTGTGAAAAAGAGAAAACAACTTGAGAAATGAAAAGCATCAACTTGAGAGTAGGGAAGAAAGCTGCAGTTGTACCTGTGTGGCTGCTGCTAGTGCTGTTTATGCAGGGCTTTTCTTGGGTTTATTTTCTAGTTTTGCTTGCTTTTTCTCTCTTGAGGGTTGTGCAAGTGTATTTTGTATTGTTTTTGGCTAGTCTATTGAATGTTCATAGCCCTTTTTTCCTCATGTGGCAAATGAACATTCTTTTGTGTGGTTTATTTTAGGATGATTCTCTTTATAGTTTATTTAGTTTAGTTTATCTGTTTGGTTTTGTTTCTCTTTTATAGCTCTAGTTTTTTTTGTTTGGTGTTGTAAGGCCTGGGGAATGCCCCTCGTATATCTCTATATGTTATCATTTTATTTTATGACTTACTAAAAAAAAAAGTTACTTATATTGCATTTATGATTTCACTTTAATTAATTGCTAACCAGTCAATGTTATGTCTTTAAAACAGTGCCTAGTAGACACCCTCGTGGCTTGACGCGCGGGTTGAAGGTTCAAGCAATGGTTCAGAAAGATAGAAAGCTCAAAGTTCCCATACCATAGGAGTATCGTGCGCCCGTGGGGGATCATGCCTCTCAATTAGTCTCCAAAATTGGTGTTGAGGTCCAAACACACTTGCCAGACTTTAGCATTCACAAGTGGAAACATGCCAATGAAGAAGTTACAGCACCTATGTTTTAGCATCTAACAGTAAAAGTTTTATATAATTGATTGAATTAATGTAATATAATTAATTATGACTTGCAAGATTTGTGGTTGTTGCTAGGATCAATTTGACATGGAAGGTGAATCCACAAATGTTAGCAAAGCGGTGGCAACAAAGTGTAGACGGAGCTTGAGCACCCATACCTACAGACTACGAATAAAATACCTGAACCTTAAAAGTGCTAAGGGAGAAGAGTATGCTAGAAGCCACCCACCGCCTGAATGTGACCTCGAGAAATGGAAAAACTCGATTGACAATAAGTGGAATGATACTAATTGGCTGGTAAACTTTTCTTATGTTTATTTATTGTTGACAATTACCTTGTCTTCCTAATATATATATTTTTCTGTTGGAACTTGCTCCTTGTAGAAGCAATCAAGTGCTAACATTGGCAATAGAAATCAATTGAAGACGAAGCATAGGTGTGGGTCAAAATCTCTCCCAGCTAGGGTACACGAGGTGGTGCGTCTTCTTTAATTTTTTTTTTGTTTTTTTTTTAAAGATGATTCTACTACCATCATTCTTATTTAACTTACTAGTTGAACAAAAAAAATTAGACAATTGCAAATGGGGGCCAACTGCCATAGTTGCCATGTGTTTACAAATCTACACACTTTAATGATGTCACAAAGCAGTGGATTTCTTCAGAGCGCGAAAAGAATTATGTATGTATATTTACCTTTTGTATTAGGATGATTGCAATTTTAATTGTATCTTTATTCATTTTTCTATTTTTTTTTTAAATAACAGGATAATATGATAAAGATCCAAGCTGAACATTGCTCCCAACCTGGTGCGGTTCTAATTACTCTGGAGGAGCTATCTCTGAAGGTGCTGAAGCCAAGGTCGGGACATGTTAAAGGACTTGGGTTGAGGCGTTCCTTCTCTGTCAGGACTACCAGTGCTTCGACTGACAGTGACTATGTGAGGCATCTAGAGATGGAAATACAAGAGAAAAATGAGGAAATTCAGTCACAAAAAGAGGAAATTCAGCCACATAAAGAGGAAATTACAGCACAAAAACATGAAATTCAAGCACAAAAAGAGGAAATTCAAGCACAAAATAAAGAGATAGGGAAGATGAATGGGTCGATTGACGAGCATTTTGAGATCACATCAAGCATCATGGAGTTTCTTAAGAAGTAAGGTTTCAAAGGACAATTTAGAGGAGGAGGTATCCCATGAACTCGTACATCGCCTTTTTGGTAAGTCTCGCTCATTTTATCATTTTATTTTTCTCATGTTGGTTAGTATATACTAGTTAAAATACAACAGTTTGACTACTTATTAACTAAGATTTAACAAGTTTGAAGATGTATTTAATGAAAATAGATTCATTATCAAAATTCTCACTTAGCATGACCCTAGTTAAAATACACACTAACCAAAGTAGAGACAAAACTATGTGTTTACTTTTTTGTGTATTTTTGCTAGGCAGTGTTGGAGTTGCTCTAAGTTAGCGATGTGATTAATAATGGGTGTGTCTTTGATTAAGTTTTTCACAGTAGAAGAAATGAAGGAACTTTTATTGAGTCTCAGGCAGTGGTTTGGTCAGGTTTGTATATCACTTTATGATTGCTGTTGTTTTTTATTTGCTTTAATTATTCTTTTGGATTGTATTGCTTTTTTGAACACCATGAAATAGCACTTGAACTCATAAAAAACACGTAACCAGATGTACTCTTTTTGTCTTCAATATCTCCGGCATAATCGCTATCTGTAAACACCAACAACTTACCATCTCCTCTTTTCTTATAATGAATTCCACAGTTCACAGTCCCTTTTAAGTATCAAAGTGCTCTCTTAGCTTCCTGTAGATGAATTTCCATTTATGAGACAAGTAACAAACATCATGTCAGGTCTTGTGGCAGTGAGATACATTAAACTACCCACCAGCTGCTTGTAATATGTCTTATCAACTAAGTCTCCATTTCCGTCTCTGCTTATTTTGAAACCTGGAACTATTGGACTGCCCACCGAATTACTTTCCATCATACTAAACCTTCTCAAAACCTCCAATGCGTATTTCCTCTAATGTATATAAATACCATCAGACTTTTGTAGCACCTCGATCCCAAGAAAAAACCTCATCTTCCCCAAGTTAGACATATCAAACTCTCTTAACATAGAGCTTTTAAATTCAGACTTCATAACTTCATCATTACGAGTAAAAATTAAATCATCAACATAAACACTTACAATGATAATTTTTCCTTCTCTGCTTCTCTTTGTGAATAATGTCTGCTCGCTATTGCACCTCCAAAACGCTTCACCAATGAAATGTGCTGCGATTCGACTCAACCAAGCTTGTGGAGCTCGTTTAATCCATACAGGGCTTTGTGTAACTTGTAAACTAGATGCTCACTGCCCTTTTTTTTCATATCCTCTTGGCTGCCATATAAGCATCTTCACTCAACTCACCATGGAGAAAAGCCGATTTGACATCCAGCTAAAAAATCGTCCAATTCTTCTGTGCAACTAGAGCAATAATCATCCTTACTGTATCCATCCTTGCCACTGGTGCAAAAACTTCTGTATAGTCTACTCCATACTTCTGAGAGTACCCTTTAGCAAGGGAAAAAATTTGACAAAAATTGGAATAAGACAATGCAAAAAGAAGACAAAAGCTTGGATAAACACCAAAAGATCTTGATGTTGCAAAGCCTTCTGCACTTGTTGTGGAGGAAAAGAAGAGCTCGTTGCCAGTTAGGCCTGCCACAAAGGCAGAACAAATGAGAGTGTCTACGATCTCTTAAGCAGAACCATAAGGATGACGAGGCCAAAGTGAAGACGGCATTTAATACGCTTTTAACTTATGTGAAGAATGTTGCGACAAATCTCAATGAGGACAAATTCCATAAAATTAGACTCACTAATGCCACCTTTCAGGCTAGAGTTGGTGCATTGCAATGTGGAATTGAGTTTCTTGAGCTGTGTGGGTTTAAGAAAATTGAAGGAGGTGAGTTCTTGTTTCTACCCAGAGACAAAGTCAACAGAGTAGTGCTGAACTCAGCTGGGTCCGAGTTGAATAATGCGATAAGTAATCCTTTCTTTGGGGTTCTCTAATCCTAAGTTTTTGTTCAAAATGCATACACTGTGAACATGAGGTTTGTTTTTCATATTTCATGTAAGTTTTAGTTGAAATGCATCCATCATTGTCAACTTTGTTGTAATGACTAGGATTAAGGGGTTTGTTTTACTTTATACATAGATGCAAATTGGCATAAATCAGAAGGCATTGAGGGGCTTCAATGGTACAACCCAAAAGTCTTATAAGGTTCTTGTGTTGTCTTATAAGGTTCTTGCGTTGAATTCCACTGATCAAATTTACCTCATTGAAGAAGTCGTCGGCCCATTGTCGTGAATCAAATGTACCTCAATGCTACGTTATATTTTGGAGCTATTATATATATTCTTCCATTAGTGATAGTGATGTATGGTATTCTTGCGATCTTTTGGCATTTTATCACCTCAACTCTTTGAAGTTTTGAATTGTTATATGCATTTCTACTAAATTGGTTTATAAAATAAAATTATTTATATATGAGTTTAGATGTAATTGATAATATATTAATGTTTGCCTTGTTTATTTTCTTTGCAGATTGGTTTTGATGACGTTAGGAAGCATATAGTTGCAAATGAAGATCAACTGTTGAATTTTTTTCCCTAAACTGATGCTTAGTTGTAGTTGCAAATCAAGATTGAGTGTTGATTTTTTTTGTGGACTCCACGTTAGTTCATTTTGGGATTTGCTTTAATGGTTTTTTTGTTATACCTAATGGATTATTATTAAAGTTATTTGATGGATGTATTTTGATTTATAATATAAATTGTTTAGTGAATTTTTTTGTGGAGTGATATATAATAGCTAGTGGATTTCTTAGTACAATTAAAAGGCTATTGGGATATGAGCAGGGATATTTGTGAAATAATAATTTAAATTGAATATAAAATATGGAGTAAGTTTAGTGATGAATTTATTTCGTCATTTGTACTTGTTATTATGACAAAGTGATTATTCGTCGCTAATAAACTTTTTTTGTGACAAAATTTATTGCAGCTTATATATGAAAGTTTTCATTTATTTTGTTGTTTGGTGACTAAAAATTTCGTCATGTATATATATATTTGCGATGAAATATATTTCGTCACCTATGTATGACTTTTGAAGATGAAAAATGCCGTCACCTTTACATCTTACTGTGATGAAATTATTTCCTCATCAATGATCAACATATGTGGCAAATTTATTCGTCAACTAAAGTTATAAATATGGTACTGAATAATTATTTGGTGACGAAAATGAGAATTTTTTGAGACAAAATTTTGTTTTATTGGTGACAAAAAATTTCATCACTGAAGTAATTTCATTGGTGACGAAATTATTTTTCATCACGGTGATTTTTAGTGACAAACATTCAATGACGAAACAGGTGATAAAAATATTTCCTCACAAATATCTATAGTGGTGAAATTAGCTCTTTGGAGACAAAAAAAAATTCATCATTCAAGACCCAACTTGTTGTAGTGTTCCTGTGCATTATCTTTGAAAGTGAAAGTGGCGAAAGTTACCTTCTGTCTTTCGGTGTAGGGTAGGGGCGAAAAATCTTTTCCATATCTTTAACCCAAGCGTCTGCTACCATTGGGTCTGGACCACCGGTAAATGTGGTGGGTTTCAGATCCTGGAACTGTTTTATGATAACCGGCTCCTCTCACCGTTCCGACATCCCATTGTTGATATTAGTTTGCAAGGCTTGCAAAAAGCTAGTAACCGCTCTTTCCATGATTCTTTCGATCGATTCAGTGCCACTGACTGATGACTCGCTTCCATTACCATTATTGGGCATTCTACAAAGTAATAAACAAGGCATTTATATATATATATATATATATAAGCATGTATAGCGCAATCTATATCTATATAAAATACCAACTTTATTATTTTTACAATTAATATTACATCCTTGTTTCAAAAGTCAGAATATGTTAGTGTCTCATTCCTGTGGTATAACAAAAACAAAAAAACAAAAAAGATAACAAAAAGGGATTAGAACACATCATGGTTAGCGTACAAAAGGTTTTCCTGTACCAAATCTAGAGTGGTGGGTCAAACGGGTTAAACAACCACAGGAAGCAGTGTTGCATAAAAAGCTAACCACACCAAAACACATCCACGCTGCCTGGACTGTAAAAATGGGGACAAACTGTATGTATCCCAAAAATGCTCGATCAACAATCCAGCCAGGTGTCTCAATATATGATAGGCCTAAAGTCAACATTTTGAATAGTAATAATCTCCAGCAGGTTAGAGACAATGGTAAAAATGTAGTCCTCGGGGCACACATTCCCCTTTTTGTAACAAAATCTGGGGGCAAAAGACCTATGATGCAGTGCGGCCAGTCATATCCCGGGGCAACGCCGAGGACACGAATGGGTCTTAGAAAGCGGTCGCGCATATAGGCACGGCTCTGCCTCCATAATAAATATGGGACATCAGTAGGATCAGTCTATATATAGATTGGCCGACCCATCAATTGGGCAAGGCCTAGATGCAGTCTTCTAATTATATCCTCTGAATCTCCCCATCCTTCAGGTAAGGCGGGGACGGGGTACTCTGTTAAAATCTCATCCAAATTAATGGCCCCGAGCTCCTTCCAAAATGCCTCAAGGTTAATCTCGGACATTCCTACATCACCAGAATAAACATGAGATTTTACATAAAAAGACTAACGTCGCAGGTAAATATTTATTATTTATTTTATTATGTAGAAATTTATTTTATTATATGTATCTAACTATATAGTTTTATTTATAGTTCTATTTATAATTTTTCAATCTTTCTGATCAAATTAAATAGGTTTTTTTTTTTTTGAACGAACCATTGTTCTGATACCACCTTTGTCACGATCCAACCCCAAGGGCTTAGGGCTGAAATTGTAACTCACTACTTTATTCTAATCGTGGCAAATTAAATGGCGCAGGTGGAGGCAAAAGGAAATAAAAATAATTAAACAGAAAATTTACTTCATTTTACTATTTTAATAAGAGAAAATACATCTATAGGGCTTTTATTATTTTATTATTCAGTGACCGGCCCTGAGTAAAAACAAAAGGAAACAAAAATAAAATAAAAAGAAAAAAAGAAAAGAAAAACAAAATAATGGTTCAACATCAAATTCTCGTGCGGGTTCCACTACGTGAGGTTATGGATCTCATCACCTGAAAAGGCAATAGCTATAAGCACACAGCAAAGTGAGAAATATTATGCCAAGAGTATAGGGAATACAAAATAACCATGGATAGTTATTTAAGCTAAAATAGTAACAGAATTTAATTTGAATAAACGAATGATTTAAAATGGCAGAAACTGAAACAAATAGTAACAGAATTTAATTTGAATAAACAGAGGCTAAATAACCATAACCACGGTACAGAACAGAACAGAACAGAGGTCACTGGAGTGACAGTCAGAATAGAGGTCAATGGATCCATGACAAACAGAGGACCGCAAAGTGGCCAAACAAAGGCCAATGGTTATTTAAGTCTCCCAAGGCGTGTGGGACTCCCGTGATGGTACTTACAAAACATAATTATTTATATGGTCATTGTCAAATACTTTCTAAAATTTAAACAAACATATCCATGGGTTTCATTTTAAACAAATAGAGTTCAGAAAATAACCCATGTAATTGAAATATTAATATAATTTATAAAATATAACTTGTATAAAATAATTTATGGTAAGTCAAAACATGCGTAAAATATATTATGGTGACTCAAGGTATAATATAACTCATCTTAATATTGAGTCTTATTATTTCCCTCATATTTTTGTTGTATTCTCTTACTTATCTCTCTCTCTCTCTCTCTCTCTATCTCTCTCTCTCTCTTTCCATTTGATCCCTTACTATTTTACAGCCCCTTTCCTCCCTTATATACACGTTCCTTAGTGCTGACTCGTCCCATCATGATGACCCTATGGTTGATGACTCACCTCTCCTATTTGCTTAGATGGCACAGGAGGCTTAATTCTATCTCTCCAGGACAATTGCCAAATCTTCTCTCATTAATGGTTGATTTGCTTAATCCCCAGGAGATCTCCTACATCATATAGTTGATAAGGCAAATTGATTTGCGTATACTTTTTTTTTATTATTATTATTTTACCTTAATTTTACATTGACTCTAATTAATAATTTAAATTATACTTTATTAATTATTTTGTTTTACTATTACATATTATTATTATTCTAATTCCATATATTTATTTTATTATTATTGTTATTATTTATTTATTTATTTTTTAATAATATATTATCAACAACAACCATAATTATATATAGCTATAATTATTTATGTGGTATTTAATTAAACATTCAGGGTGCCACATTTCTTCCCTCCTAAATAGAAGTTTGTCCCCAAATTTGACGTACCTTAATTTTTGAAGAGATATGGGTATTTGGCTCCCATTTGACTTTTTGTTTCCCACGTAGCTTCTTTGATTCGATGATTTCTTGGTCCAAACCCAATGGTAGCGGACACTTGGGTTAAAGACATGGAAAAGATTTTTCGCGCTTTACCCTGTACCGAAAGACAAAAGGTAACTTTTGTCACTTTCACTTTTAAAGACAATGCGCAGGAATGGTGGCTTCTCACCCTAGAAAAAGAAGAAATTGTGACTTGGGCAAGATTCTTGGAAGTATTTTATGCAAAATACCTCTCAGATTCGTTACGGGAACAAAAGGCATCGGAATTCATACATCTAAAGTAAGGAACTAGGACGGTGGCCGAATATGAGAGCAAGTTCACACAACTCGCTCGGTTTGCGACATATGTCATCCCCACTGAAGCTCGAAAAGCAAGGAAATTCGAAGCAAGATTAGATGTTGAAATCAAAGATAAGCTTAAGGTTTTGAAACTACCAACCTATGCGGAAGTCGTAGATTGAGCATACATTGCAAAAAAAGGAATTAAAGCCTCCCGTTCCTGGGAACCAAGCCAAAAAAAGTGATTCTGAGAAAAAGACAATAGAAGATCCGGTGTTGTACCTCCCAAGAGAGGGAATAAAGGCATAACCAGCTCAGGCAACCAAGGTTTTACTAACCCCAGAGGTGGCACCATTTCAACTTGCCCTAAGTGTGGAAGGGCTCATTGGAGACAATGCCATCGAGACACGGGACCATGCTTTAAATGCGGTCAAGTTGGCCACGTGCTGAGGGATTATCCAAAGTTGACCAATCCTATAGCCAGCCCCTCCGGCCCAGTCAGAAAACCCGCAGGACTTGGAGAACGGATGAAGGACCCAAAACGCCAAGGAAGGGTTTTTGCTTTGGTACCTGGTAAACCGAAAGTTACCTAAAATGTTGTGTCAGGTACACTTTCTGTCTGTGGTCATTTACCTCATGTCCTCATTGACTCTTTTGTTGCACCACACTTTGCTGCCAAGCTGGCATCAACACCCGAACCCTTAGGATATCTATTGTCTGTATCTTTTCCTTTTGGTAATTCTGCTTGTAGTACTGATATGTACAGATCATATACTATATACTTAAAAGGCAAAACCTTATAGGTAGACTTGATTCCCCTCCGCATTGGTCACTTTGATATCATCCCCGAAATGGATTGGCTGATTGCCAACCATGCCTCTATTGATTGCAAAACCAAAAAGGTCTCCCTCCGGTTACCATGCCAACCCGAGCTTGTCTTTGATGGGACTGGAGTTTCCAACCCTCCATGTATTATATCCTCCATGACAGCCCAACGACTTCTAAG